CCCCAACGTGTTCACTGATATTTATAATTATCCATGGTCAGATCTGCCCATTTAGTTCAATATGTGCACGAAAATTCTCCACGGGTTGTGAGCATGTGCTCAGCCGGTGTCCTTGTAGGAGGGACAGCTTTAGAAGGCTTGGACATCAGAGATCCCATTTCTAAACACTGGGCCCAAAAGCGAGTTTACTATTCAAATAGCCTGCAGGTCTTCAGCTCACCTCACTCTGGAACAGTCTGATCACTGAGAACCAGGTCAAAGGCTAAAAGCCAGTCCCAGGCAAATAACCAACTCTTAGGGAGTTAAGTTACAGATTGAGCTGGTACTGGGCCAAAATCAGTTCACAGCTCAAGCAAACCGGGAATCTTCAGTTTGGCTCTAGTCTCACTCCATTAACTTTTCACTGAGACAGCACGATCTAACATCGGTTAAACTGACCAATTTCAGTAGAAATAACCTCTTATTCCCAAAGGGACGTTAGGCAAAGGCCAGTTTTTGTCTCAAAACACAGTCTGCTTTCCGAAGAAAGCAAGCCACCATGGCATGAGTACTCAAAGAAAATAGGCCTTAAAGCATTCACACACACAGCAACAAAACAAACAAACAAAAACTGAAAAAAAAATTCCAAATAAAACCTGGAGAGCACCAGACAAAAATAAATAAATAAATAAAGCTCGGTGGCTCAGGTCCAGGACAGAAACTCACCCAAGTCTTCTAAGCCAAGGAGCAAAAATCGAGCGAAACAGCTCAGATAGGCGCCATAGATTTGCTCACCAGTCAGAAGCCGTAGGAGTCCTGCTCCTCTCTGGATCCCAGAACGAGGCCCCAAAATGTTGACTGGTGAAAATAACTCCAAAAATGATGCACAAAAGAAAAGGGTTTATTCGGAGGAAGGGAAAAAAAAAAGAAACAAGCTACCGCCGCAGTGCGAGAAACTGCACTGCTCCGGTACCGGGGCTCCTGCCGGAGGTCCATGCACAACTCCGACACCACAGCGCTCCAACCGGCCACCCAATGTGGAGAAACGGAGAGAGCTATTTCAAGATGGCTCTTTCTATTTATATCATCCTTTCCCCCTGAAGCTATCACAAAGTTAAACATGGAGTCAGGGTCACAGTTAACAAGGGGCCCAGCTGTACCCACAGTCCTCCCAACTCTATAGTCAAGCATCACAAAATGCCAGTTCACGTTAATCAAGAGCAATGATGTGAGAGGACAGGTGATGTATGACCAGGCAGACCACCACCACCCTCCCCAAGCCTCCCTTTGGTGAAGCCTGTGGCAGGGACGAGAAGGGAGGCTGAGGCCTCCAGCCATAGCACGCTGGCCTCTGATGTGCTGAGTGTCTATAATGATGCCACAATCATGATGACAGTGACAGTACACAGTTCAGGGACATCCTTCTACNAGGCACAGTGAAAATGTTGTAGGATTGGCTAAATAGCACAGACTTGCTTTAGCACCTGACCAGTAAAATGGGTTCCTCGATCGCTGTGGAGTTAAGCAGAGCTCCCCAAGTAGGAATATCTCTAACAGTACTTTTGCCACTGCAGACACATTAGCTTGTCTGCAAGGGAAAGCTTGAGTGAGAAAACATACATATCATAACCAAAACATATTTGTTTGTATACATGAGATGGAGGTAGCTATATAAAGTCTAGTTGCCAGACCTCAAATGGTCCACTTGGCAATTTAAAATGTCCAGGGGCAGTGTGAATAGGCTTTCCTGAGTTATATTTTGGACAGGTGGGACACCCGAGGTAGGTGGTTTTTGCAGCCTTATTAATATCTCCCCACCAATATTGGTGCATGGAAGCTACCATTTTATCAGTTGACCAATGGTTCAACGCATGTACAGTGGATAAGAGTGGGAATTTTAGACTTTCTGGAAGGACTGGGTTGTTGTTTGGTCCAAACCAGAGTCTCTTTTCCTTAATAAACCAGTAATTGTTAGATTTCCAGTTATGCTTTTCTTCTTCAGAAGCTGATTGTTGGGCTTCTCTGGCCAGTTTTTCTAGATTATCAGTTGGAGAAGCTTCTCTCTGAACCATGACAGAGGTTTGACTGCTGCTGATGCCTTTAAGGGCAGCATTTTTAGCAGGAATGTCAGTCAGGTGATTTCCTTTGGCCTCCAGGCAGTCAAGTTTAGAATGCCCTGGGATCTTAATAATGGCTGAGGCATCAGGTAAAAGTATCGCGTCCAATAATTTCTGTACATATGGGCCATTTTAAATTTTATCTCCTTTGGAGGTGAGGAAACCACGTTGTTGCCATAACATTCCAAAGTCGTGAGCCACCCCAAAGGCATATCTGCTGTCAGCGTAAATGTTGACAGCCTTACCCTTTGCTAAAATGCAAGCTCAGGCAGGGCATACAGTTCAGCCTGCTGTGCTGAAGTGGGCAGAGGCAAAGGTGCTGCCTCGATGACTTCAGAAGGAGTTACAACAACATAACCAGCTCAGTACTTACCACTGTCCTTTCTTAACTATGAACCATCAGTAAACCATGAGAAATCAGCTTTACCCAAAGGAGTCTCCTGCAAATCATCACAAGGAGTCAAGAGGTGATCTGCTAAAATCAGGCAGTCATGAGGGGCTTCCTCAGTCTCCGAAGGCAGAAAAGTAGCTGGAATAAGGTTGTTACAATGTGAGAGGGTTATATGGGAAGCGGTTAACAAAAAAGCGAGACCTGACTGAAAGATGCTGGGTCTGATGAGAGAGAATTCAGGAGAGCTTTTACTGCATGAGGCACGAAGATGGTTAGAGGGGATCCCGCAACAATCTTTTCTGTGGCCTTAACCAGGAGGGCAGTGGCAGCAACGGCTCTGAAGCAAGGGGGGTATCCCTGAGCCACTGGGTCCAGTTGTTGGCTATAGTATCCTAGGGGTTTATATTGATCCCTGTGTTTTTGGGCGAGCACCCCAAGGGCATTTCCTTCTTTTTCATGTACAAAAATGAAGAAGGGAATTTGGTAGTTAGGATGCCCAAGAGAAGGTGGGTTTATTAAACTCTCCTTCAAGGCCTTGAAAGCCACGTCATCCCGTTCTTCCCATGAAATTGGGTCAGGACTGTCATTCCTTAATAAGACATAGAGAGGTTTGGCCACAAGAGAAAGATTTAGGATCCATTTCCAGCAGTAGCCGACTAGTCCAAGAAAACCTCGTAATTGACGCTTAGTCTTAGGCCTCGGAAAACTTAGAATGCCATGGAGCCTGGCCAGGCGCAGGCCATTTTCCAATATTAGGTGTCCCAAGTATGGAACTTGAGCTTGGGCAAATTGTAATTTCTCTTTAGAGACAGTATATCCCTTTAAGGCCAAGAGTGTCAGCAAATGGATGCTATCATCCTGCGATGAAACCTGAGAAGAACAAAGAAGTAAGTCATCCACATATTGTAACAAAGTGGAAGCTTTAGGAAAAGTTATATCACCCAAATCGGTCTTAGAATCTGTGAGAAATAAGAAGGCTGTCAGTAAATCCCTGAGGCATTACAGTCCAGGTAAATTGCTTTCCTTCCCAAGTGAAAGCAAAAAGATATTGGTTAGCTTCATCAACCGGGATGCTAAAAAATGCACTGAATAAATCAGTTACTGTAAACAATTTACTTCCAGCTGGAATGGATGCCAGCAGTGTATGAGGGTCAGGAACGACAGGGTGTCGAGGGATAACAATGTAGTTTATTGCTCAGAGGTCCTAGACAAACCTCCACCCTCGTCCCTTTGGCTTTCTCATAGGTAGGAATGTTTCAAGGACTAGTACAAGGAATAATAATACCTTGTGTTATGTAATCTTCTATTATGGGCTTTATACCTTGGACAGCCTCTTTGCTTATAGGATATTGATTAATTCTGGGCNCTCCTAGGTTTCTGCCCAAGAAAAACAAAAACATACAAAAACTTTTACAAGAATGTACGCAATAGCTTATTCATGATAGCCCAAAGGTGGAAACAACCAAAGTTACCATCAACCGATGAACAGACAAACACAATGTGGTCCATCCACATAATGGAATATCCATCAGCTATAAAAGGAATGAATGACTGACACCTGCCACACCTTGGGAGAACCTTGAAAACATCATGCTAAGTGGGAGAAGCCAGTTGCAACAGACCAAATATTATGATTCCATGTATATGAAATGTCCACATCCACAGAGTCAGAAGTAAATTAGCAATTGCCTAGGGCTGGAGGGAATGTGTGTGTGTGTGTGTGTGTGTGTGTGTGTGGCGGGGGACGGGGGTGACACCTAGGGAGTGCAGTGTTTCTTTTTAGGGTGACAAAAATATTCTGAAATGGACTGTGGTGGCGTTTGCACAGCTCTGTGACTATAGTAAGCACCACTGAACTAAGCACTCTAAATGGATGAATTGTATGGCCTGTGAGTTCTATCTCAATAAAGCTTTAAAAGAAACAAAAGTTAATAGAAGGCAAAGATGTGGTACAACTGGAACTTTCAGACACTTCTGGAGTCTTTAATGATAGAACTTTGTAGAACTGGCAATATTTACTATGTCACTGAATTGTATGCTTTAAAATAGTTAAATGCTGAATTTTATGTTTAAGAAAACATTAATGAAAGTATCCAGGGGCTGGCCCAATATAAAAAGAGCTGAGATCTCTAATAAACGTGTCCCTTGCAAATTACACCTAAGTGTATATTTTTGAGTACTTACTGTGTGCCAAAACCTAGGATGAGCCCTCTTCCTATAGTATCTCATTTGTTTTTCAAAACCATCCCAGGGAGCTATTACTATTATCACCCAATTTTACAGATGAGGAAATCGGACACCCCAAGAGGCCCAGTTCCTTTCCAGGCAGAGTTACAGAAAGGCACTTGAGCAATTCTGTCCAAAGCCACACTCACATGCAGGTGGGCAGCTGCCTCTCCTGTTCTGTGCAGGGGACCCACTTCCTGTGATCTATGGGACGGCGGGCTGATGTGACCAGCAGGTAAAATGTTTATGGTGGAGAGTGTTGACTGGCAAAAATAACTCTCCAAAACTGATGCACAAAAGAAAAGGGTTTATTCGGAGGATGGGGGGAAAAAAGAAACAAGCTACCACCACAATGCAAGAAACTGCATGGCCTCTGGTACCGGAGGCTCCTGCCGGAGGCCCATGCACAACTCCGACACCACCGCGCTCCAACCGGCTGCCCACGTGGAGAAATGGAGAGTTATTTCAAGATGACTCTTTCTATTTATATCATCCCTTCCCCATGAAGCTATCACAAAGTTAAACATGGAGTCAGGGTCACAGTTAACAAGGGGCCCAGCTGCACCCACAGTCCTTCCAACTCTATAGTCAAGCATCACAAAATGCCAGTTCACTTTTATCATTGCCCCCTCTTGATCAAGATCATTCCTCTAAAAGATCATTGATCAACAGTCAGGTCTTCTAGTCTCAGGTTTTCCAGTGTTCAGCCTCTTGTCCCTCGATGTCTGTTCATCCTTTTGTCCCTAGATGTCAGAAGGGCCTCTTTTGGGTGTCATCATGTCAGAAGGGCCTTTTGGGTGTCATCATGGGGAAAAGTGCATGGATAGGGAAAACGGCTGGCATTCAGTGTCAACCGGAATCAGAAGCAGAGCTTAAACAGATCAAAGTTAGAAACAGAGAATTAGAACAAAGCAAAATAGCTTATGTGGCTGGCATGAGCCAGAAACTCAAACTCCTCAAAGGTCACCTGTTTTAAATCTTGACAGTTTTAGTTTCATGTCACCAGGCTGTGTGCTTTTCCAGCCAAGGTTTGGTGCCTTTTTTTTTTTTTTAAGATTTTATTGGGGAGTTGGGGGAGGCAAACAGACAAGTTGCTGTCCCTTTTGATCTTCAGTCTAGTTGTGGAGGACGTTGCTTCACTGGCCCATGTTGGTATTATCATTGTGCTCTCCCCAGCTGGGGCAGTTGCTTGCTGGCCATTGGTCGGCCGCTCACGGCAGCTCGTGAAAGTTTATGCCTGCTGCTGGCCAGCCCCACTACAGCCTATGCCATCGCCAGCAATTCACGGCAGCCCAGCTGCAGGTCGAGCTATTGTTCACCATCTTAGCTGTAGAGGGCACAGCGTCACTGGCTGTCATGTGGGATCCGAACCAGGGTCCTGATGCTCAGAGCTGGCGTCCCAAGCCAACTCCTAACCAACGTGCCACTTGGCCGGCCCTGGAGCCTTCTTTAAGTGTGACATGTGCATCCAAGAGTCTACTCACTGTAGTTTAGCAGCACAGGGGTTTGTCAACAGTACCTGGTAAGGGTCCCTGCAGTGTGGCTAGAGAGAATCTTTTTTTAGGTGTCTTTTCCAATAAACAAAATCTCCAGGTTTTAAAGTATGAAATTTTACTTTTTCATTTCCCTGGAGAGCATGGTGAAACGATTGTTTGACTAAAGCATGATTTNCAGCAACTTGTCTGTTCCCCTTCCCCCAATTCCCCAGCACTGTTCCCATCCCCCCAATTCCCCAATAAAAACCTTTAAAAAACAAAACAAAACAAAACAAAACCCTCCAGGAAGCTTGTTGCTTCCACAGGTAAGGACCACCCCCAGGCTGTGTCTCTTCTGCAAGGGATGCACTGTGTCCAGCCCCGCCCCAGCTCTGCTTTTGCACACCATCATTCTTCCCCCTGCCCGGTGAACACCTGCCCTTCCATTTCAGATCGGTGTCAGACCCCCAGAGTTCACCTGCCCTGCCAGCTAGCCCTGGCCCTTCTCATTTGTTGCCTCACTCCCCTGCAGACTTTCATCCCAATTCTAAGAGCTGCTGTGCACTGTGTGTGCTGCTCTGTGCTGGTGCTTTTCCCGGCACCCTCTCACAATCTTCAGCCAACCCCGGGAGGGCAGACTGCTGTTGCTCCTATCTAACAGAAGACGAAACTGAGGTTGTCTGTGGCAGTGTCCCCTGGGCTCAGCATATGGGCTTTGTTGGTTGAAAGGAGGCATAAATGAGGCTGACAAGAAGAAGGAAGAGGCAAGAAAATTCCCAGTTTCCATAGCAACAGAAAGGATGCGGCATTATGAACAGAGAGGACTGGGGTGGGGGTGTCCTGGGAGCAGGATAAATCATGGAATTTCAAGATAGAAGGGACCTTTAACTTCCCTTGGTTCAGGAGTTCTCAATTGGGGGCAGGTTCCCCACCAGGGGACATCTGGCAATGACTGGAGGCATTTTTGGTTGTCATTTTGGTTGGGTGGGGGGCTATTGGCATGTAGTGGACAGAGACTAGGGATACTGAAGAACCTCCTGCGTGTTCAGAGTGGCCCCCCAGCAGCATTATCCAACCCAGAACATCAATAGTGCTGAGGCAGAGGAACCCTGATGTACAATAGTTCAGTCCATTCGCCCCGTCCTCCCACCCCTTCCAGGGCTTGTTTCAGTTTTTGCTTAACTGCCTCCAGGGACCGGAACCTCACCACCTCTGGGGGCAGTTAGTCCAAGGTGATGAGCTCAGAATCAGTGCTGGAACTGGCAGGACATCCAGGGGAAGAAGTTACCCATATGTCTCCAAAGCAACAAGCAATATGCAGCTCTTACTAAGCGCTTTGAGAAAAATGAGCCACCAGTGAGCTAAGACACCAGCTTCTGTCCTTAGATTTTCCACCGAAAAGGTTCCTCCAGGAACAAGGGATCTGGGGGGCGGAATTCAGAGGGTCCTGTTGGCTCTTGGCCTGGGATTGCTCAGCCTATGACTGCTGGGTGGCAGTGGGGAGACACAAAAAGGAAGCAGAACTCGGTCATCTGCATTTCCAGAAGTAAAATTATGTTTCTGAAATATTAAAGTCTTTTTAATGCATGTTGAAGTATTTAGGGGGAAACGTACATACTCTGAAACACATAAAAAAATAAGAGGGATAAAAGGGTAGGTAGGTGGGTAGGTAGGTAGATGGATGAATGAATGGATGGCCGATGGATGGATGCACAGATATGTGATTAAACAAGAACATATAGAATATTTTTATTAAAGTCCTATGATTAAACCCATGTTACAGATGAGGAAACCTTTCAAAAGGTAATGGAAATTGCTCAAGGTCACCAGCTAGTAAATTGTGAGGGTTAGGGTTCTGGACCAGTCACTCTGATCTAGAACCATGCTCGGCACACCCTGTATGACTCAACCTTTCCACAGGAGATCATGAGGGCTCTGGC